TATATATATATATATATATATATATATATATATATGTGTATATATATATATATATGTATATGCCATATAAAGGGAGATATATATATGGTGAATGTTAAAATAACACTTAATCAAATTTCATATATTTCACTATTATATTTTACACTTTAGAGTTTATATGTAATTCTGTATGGGGAAATAGCCATGTAACAGATGCTTTATGGTCCATAAACATTTCATTACCAAACTAAGTAACATCATCCAAGCACATCTGCAAGAAAATAACCATATCAGAGATCACCAAGGACCCCACAGTTACTGTAGGCTGCATAAATGCAGTATGCATAGGACAGAATTCCTTACTAAGTTACTTTTCCATGCTGTCTACAGCATGATAGTTTCATATTCCTTTGAGCTAGTCCAGTCTTCCTTTCAGTTTTATCTAGTAGACATTTGATGTTCCCATACCTGGGTCCTGTGTACCCAGATTTTTAAAAGTTCCTTTTTAAATAAATTGAGGAGTTTTTTTGCGAGAAGAAGTTAAGTTTAATTCCATTTTTAACTGCTCACTCTCCATTGCAAAACAAATATCTATATAGCAATGATCGTGTTTATAGTATATGGAATTGCTATACATAAAATGTTTTTTTATAAAGAATTAATAAAAAATAATAGCAACCATAACACAGAAATGATTCTTTTCCTGCAGTAAGAAGTAGGTTAATGCCTATTGGGATAAGGGTGAAATCTCCATGTTTTCTTCCTTTTCCATTAGGAGTTTGATCCTGAAGAATTTTACTATCTTTTGGAGGCTGCAGAAGGCCATGCAAAAGAGGGGCAAGGCATTAAAACTGACATCCCTAGATATATCATAAGTCAACTGGGTTTGAATAAGGATCCTTTGGAAGGTATGATAATCACAATTGATTTTTTTTATTTTGCCCATTTTTTGATATTACCATTTTTATTAATCTTGTGTATTTCAGTATATGTATCTAATACATCATGGGATTTTAGTTCCAAACTGCTATAAAATAATAAAAGACCTTTGATTAAGCTCACTCTCTCAGAAAATAATTGATGAGTTAATCAGGGCTTAATATCAACTTTTTCAAAGAACGAAATTGGGGCAAGATGTTTGACAATGTTGTCAAAGCTGGAATGAATGAAAATTTAGTCAAATTGTAGGGCATGATAATGAAGCATGATATAAATCCAGTATTATAGGAGAACACATCAAAACATTAATAGAAAATAATTGGAGCATTTTTAAATTATCTTCACGTAAAAATCTGAAAGAATTTATTGGACAATTAATGAAGTAGAACTACAAATTGAAAAACAAACAAAAACATCTGTCTCATAAAAATAAACTAGTTTCATAATAAAATTGAATGTAGCACAAATGCACTTGATTCTGCGCATAATCTCTTAATTTAGAATCATGAATATTTGTCAAATTGAATGTTTATATTTTGACTTAATGCTTTATATTATTTGCCATTATGGAAATAGGTATTCATGACAATATAGTTTTATTTGTATGTAATGTTCAATTAGTATTAACAATAGTTTGTTGAACAAGCAATAGTGGGTTTATGGGTTTATAAATTATGCTAGGGCAAAACAAATTGCATTATCCAGGTTCATCTATACTTGAACCATAATATCTTTATTTTCTTTCTTCTTCTATCCTAAATGTTTAAAATCAATCACAGCTTTATGTTGTTTTGAAATTATAGAAGGTGCAAATTTGTTTTGATTGTTTTTACAAACCCAGAATTTCAACCACAGTGTCTTTATTTGTGCATTCTTAAAAGAAAATGTATTATGTAAGTCTGAATGTCATGCACCCTATTTATCCCACATTGTAGCATCACATTCTTTTAAAGTATGTAAATTAAATATGATAATCTACATGTTTTAGAATAAACAGATTTGAATAAGATTTATTCCGAAATTAGCATATTGAATATTTCAGCTTCCATATTCAAGAAGGTATCATTGATCAATTATTTTAACATTCTTTAGAATGAGACAAAACAGATATATCTCTAGGTAAATACAATTTTTCAGAACAAAATGAAATTAGGTTGAACTGAATAATGGTCCTTAGTTATTATAAATTGGCTATATACATATATGATAATTGATACAACAATTATAATAGTATCAAGGGAGAATTCAGTTTCTCTCTAGGATCAATATAAATTAGATCCTGCTTTATTTGTTGTGCTGTATTATGGGAACTTCATAATATTCAAGCCTATAGCTCTGATTTATGTTATGAAAGCACATTTTAAAGAAGGACATTGATTTTTTTCCCCCAGTTATAATAAATTTCTTTGCTTCCAATGAAATTTTCCAGTAATTGGACTTAAAATTGCATCCTTTACTTTTTTGTCTGTTAGGTATAGTTTCTTTTCAAATAAAATGATGCATGCAGTTTTTTCAGATAATGCTAGATAAAACTATTTTGTACCCAAAGCAATAAATAGCAGATTCATCATTTATTGAAGTGTGGTCATTGTATTTCAGAAATGCTCCCCAGGTTGAAATTTTTCCCTGTGGCTTTTAGATTAAATCTTTACCTTTTTGAATTATGACTCTTTAGAAATGGTTTAAGTCAATAAAATAAAAAAGCAGATGTTTAATGGTATTTAGATGAGTTTAAAAAATGTCTTCAGGCGTTGCGAAATGTTTCCTTAGCTGTCAGCTTCAAAAGCGGACTTGATTTTATTCTATTACTACCTACTGTTTACAAATAATGTGTACTTCTCAGATAATGGATATTTTTTAAATCAAAACTAGGATACATAACTGAACCACTTTGATTTTCTATTTATGAATATAAATATGGGATTGACAAAACTGTCAAAGTACATTACAATGGCTTGGTTTTTACAAAATGAAAAACTAACCAAAAGCTGTTCCTCACAGCAGTTCTTTAATAAAATTTCACATTTATTTATTGATAGTAAAGCTAATCTCAAGTTTTATGTTTTTACTCTAAGTGCCCTTCATCTTAAATAAAAACATGCTGGTTTGATTTGAAAGAATACCCTCCAGGCATGTTTGACTTAGGTTGTGATTTATTATAAATTTGTAAGATAATACATTTTGGATTATGAATGTTATATTTACCATGATAAAATCTTTCACTTTGTACTTTCAGCTTCAAAGTCAAATAGTTTTATGTCAGTGTTTATAAGTGTGTGTACAGGTAAAATGGTCACTGGTACCAGAGTTTCCATTGCTAAACAATGTGGTCATAAAGCACATCACATGATCACATTGCTTAATGATGGCATTCCTCCATTGCCATCGTTCAGCAAAAATCAGAGGTCATTAAAGGAGACCTGGACAACTTACATACAGGCCAGCAGAGAGCTAAAATGTGATGTATGGCATGCATACACCGGGGCCAGGAATGACTGCTGCTGGGTGGGGGGAGGGTGTGCAAGTTTCCTACAAGATATAAGGACTACAGGCAGTGAAGAGTGTGAGTTACTTACCACAGTGACTTGTGACCTACCCCTGCTTGCTTCCCAATTGACTTTGCTTTTGGAAAGCTGGCAGGCAAATTCACAAATGACAATCATGTGACAGTGGGATACCTCAACTGTTAGGTGAGGTTTTGGCCAAGAACTCATGATTGCAATTCCTTGATCCCAGGGGTGCAGTGATGATTATATATTTTCTTTTTTCAGTGCCATTGTAACTTTTGACTGGCTGCTGAACGCACAAGTTGAGGAATTACCTGTACATACCCACAAAATAAAATTATTTATTTTTTTAAGTTTCTATTTCTGTATTTATTTCTGTGACTAAAATATTCATTGTGAGGAAATCTATAATGCAATAACAAAGTTTGAAACACAGACATAATTTACATGGAGATTTTCATATAAATGTCTTTTTCTGGTCATGTGAATTATTGTATTACCTGAATAAATGTGAGGAGATTAGAATGAGGCACAGATCTGCTGGTAGATCTGCTGGTAGATAACCTCTGATGATCCCCAAGGTCTGCTAACAAAAATATATCCTCACTGCTTTCCTGTCCAAAATATACTCTTGAGGAAGTGATAAAGGGATAGAATTGGTGTAGCAAAAAGGGGGGCGTTTATGCAACATCAAGGAACACCCTTGCATTGCTGACAGTTAACTAATATCCAAACATAAGAAGTCCAAAAATACCAAATCTTTATTTCTTTTCTGAGCTGCATCCAGTGTCCATTGTTAAATAATTCATTTAAGCTTATGATGATCGTGATGATTGTTAAACCGTGACTGACTCTTAACGATTCTATGGGCCCTGCCTCTCCACATCTTCTGATCTTGAAGATATAGATTCGTTATTTCCAATCATTTCTCTTCTACTAACTTGCCATGATTGCATGTTGTATCAGCATCTAGTATGGAAGAATAGGATTAAGATAAGATAGGTAGCTCTTGTTGAAGAGACATGGGAAAATTTTTAAAAGTTTCAAATCTTTAGAATTACTGTAATCATGTTAATTACTTATATCATAAATAAAATAAAAATAGTTCATACTTAAGATTGTATCTACTGTTTCCAGTAGATAGCTTCTGCAGAACAAAAACTACTGGTGCAAACATATTCTGATATTACAATGGAAAGTATGGGGAAGATAAACAAGAATATATATCTTGTGGGACTATAATCTTGGATTTTCTACATTTAGCAAGAATGAAGCTCAAATCTATTATTTTCTTTAAAAGGAATATAAATATTTAGACATATCTTAACATTTTAAAATATTTCATTCATCATATTTTTGCTGCAAGTGAATTACTGGAAATGTTCAGAAAGTAACAAATCAACTACTCAAATATAAAATAGTCATATAATCTGCTAAATTTCCTGTTAAGCTCTATAATTAATTTATACATTTTATTCTAAATATGGGACATGAAATCCTTGCAAACCAACTAGTTATTTTTAATACTAAACCTTAAAATCTAATGATTTTTTATTTTAAAAACTATCAGTAATTTATGGAGCATCCTATAAATTTGTACGTTGTTTTAAGATGCCAGTGCATCAGAATTCAAAAGCCACAGTGAACAGAAATTCTACTAGATGGCCTATAAATGATAATGGTTTTTGATTCTCGGGGACACAACAGTTCATTCAAAGCCTAATTTCTTTGTTTTTATATTGGTGCGTTTGAATATAAAGGAACCTAATTTAACATTGATCTTAATTTAGTGGATGTTGATGTGAAAAGTTGATACCACTTAAGAAGATCCTGAATTAAGAATTTTCTTTCCATCTTAGACCAGTATACAGTGCACTACATAACATAAAACTTATCATACGTAAAATGCATTCTAAAAATGATATTCTTTTTTTTCTGATAGAAATAGCTCAGCTAACTAACTATGACAGTGGAGCAGCAGCCACTCCAGAAACGGATGAACCGGTCAGTGTAAATCTCCTGTTTTCTTGTACTTTTACTATTAAATAAATAGTTTCTGCTTTGACTGAATCCACCCAAAATGCAAATGATATTTTTAAATTATGGGAACAATCATAATGAATTAGCTCACCCTTAATGATAAGCAACATATGTCATTGCTAAGTGACATACAAGCTATGTTTTAGCTTAGTGTTATTTGGGAAATAGCTGATTTTTATATTCAGCTGTCATACAAAAGTAAATAAGGCAAGAAGAGGGATCTGAATCAGCATCTGTGCATTCCTTAAAATGCACAGATGAAAAATTGTTGTTGTCCTGACCATGCTGCCACTTTAACATGCACTTCGAGGTACAGACATAAAAATTCTAATGATGTAAGACAAAACATAAGTTTAGAGTAAACATTAAGTATTAGATGTTAATGATGATACTATATTTCTCATCTAGGACTGATTATAATGATTTTGTTATGGTTACTCTTGACGATGCTTTGTAAGTTATATCTAAAACACAGTATGCAAGTAATTAAAATATAATGGAAATCTAATTGATAAAATAATGGCTTCTAATCTATTGCTGGGCATTACTGAAAATGCAGTATTTATTTGATGAATGGTATACATCTGAAAATCTGCTAACTAATGGATTGGTTAAATGTACAGACGACTTGTGGTGGTGCTTTTGATGAGAAGGGAAAATGATGCTTCACAATATATGGGGTTTTCACATAAACCTGCCAATAGTTACAGAAGCTAATTGTTCCAAGATGATTCCTTCATCAATTACAGCATACTTTCAAGACACGGCACCATTTGACTTAAGGAGCTGCCAACATGTGTTCATGCACACTTATGCATGCTTTGAAGTTTATCTGAAACTATGTACAATCCTAGTATTACTGCCTGGTGTAACTAATTTTCCTCTATTTACTTTGAAGAATTCTAATGCATCACTTAAACTTAAGAGGAAGCCTCGTGAAAACGATTTTGAAACAATTAAGCTGATTAGCAATGGAGCATACGGGTGAGTAAAAACAAATAAAATTCTCTGGATTTTGTTTCACAATTTTAGGTACCTTGGATTTTGTTTCACAACTTTAGGTACCTTGGATTTTGTTTCACAACTTTAGGTACCTTGATATATTTTTCTTAGTGCGCAGAAAAATTGTTTTTCTTTTGGAGGAATGCTAAAACTATTGCTGTGGAAAAATGTCAGAAGAAATGTACTGAAGCCGACATGCTGTTTAAAATGAAATGCGTTTGTCATTTATTTCTCATGAAAATAGATGACTCCAGGGAGAGGGAAAGAGGGAATAGGTGGCCACAGTGGCTTTATAGCATTCTTCAGTGATCCTGAAGAAAAAATCCCAGGTTGACAGAATGAAGTAATTGAGAGGTGAGCTAGTGGCTGTGTGAAGCACTGAATAGCGTGAGGCTGACATATAGTCATAAATCTGAAGGGGGTACTCGGCTTCATACTTCAGCTGTCATGAAAGTATAGAAGAAATGGGAAAGAAGCTCAATGGAATAGAGAATGGAAAAGAGAGGAATTTGCTGGTAGAGCTCAGAAGTCAGAGAATAGGAATTGGGAGAAATGAAGAGAGACATTGTTTTAAGGGATTGATTGAGAATGCAAACATTTCTGGAATAGGAACTGACAGCAAAAATGTCAGTTGTTTGATTATGGTGGCAAAGTAATATGTTTTATGTGTCAATCATTAAAAATAAGTACATCCTGAGAGCTCCTGATTAAGTATATTCTTGGCATGCTTTTCCATCAGGTCCTAGTGTGTATAGAAATATTACAAAATCAACAACCAATGTAGGCACCTAGGCTGCAACATTTGTCAGGCACCAAGAACTAAGAAAGACTTCTGAGTCTTTATTGTTGCTCACCTATAAACAGAAATCTTGTCAAATTTAAGCAACTATTTACACCACTGAGATCAGACCATTGGTTCATTGTGCGTGCACCCGCTCGCTTCACATATGTATGTCCTCTTTGCAGGCACATGTGCCCCTTCTGTGCATGTGCCCGTCCTTCCGCACATGCGCTTTGCTTGCAAGAGCACCTTCCGCACATGCGCCCAGCCTCAAAAATGTGCCTAAATAGGATGGCATAGAGCTTAGGCGGGTGGGGCAGGGGCGAGGTGAGCCCACCCACGATTTCCATTACCAGTTTGGGTGAACCCATCTGAACCTTCTGAATACCACCTCTGACTGAGATATACTCTGGGAATCTCTAAGGAGTAGTCTTCTTAACTCTCTTTCTCCTGACCAAAACCTTCCATGCTTTGCTGCCTCTTTGCTCTCTGCCTTTTTGCTCTTTGTAGCCTCTTCTTCCTGGGAATTCAAACTACCCTTCACCGCAGATTTGCAGAATGACACTCTTCTATAACTTCTAGCAGATGTCAAAATTGTAACTCCTCAGAAACATTTTGATTATAACGTTTCAGTTTCTACTTTATAGCTTTCAATGTTGCCAGCAACTACAATGCTTTGCTCAGTCACATTAAAACACAGTCTGATACTCCCCTGGTGATTATATCCACCCTCTGTAACATTGGTTTGGTACTTTCTGTTCCTTCAACTTGATAAACTGATCCTTCCCCACCTAGCATAGACCTTGTTTTTCCTTTAGCAAGGTTTGATTAACATTGGCTTATAAGCAGTTTATTGCTGCCTCTGCTACAGAACTCCACATACCAAGGACCAGAGTGAAAATGTATGGACCGGATTCTTCGGATGTGACTTGCAGGTTTTTTGTCATGTTGTATGTTACATGAAAACAACCTGGCATTATCTTTACTGCAAATGAACTGTTTTTAGCACCATTGATGAAAAAGCTAACTGGTAGAAATAAGTAATGCCCATTGTTGCTCCTGTGGCAAAGAATGGGGGTTTATCAGATCAAATAAAAGAGACTTTAAGAATTGACACAGCAAGCAACTCTTTATAAGGAAGAGAGTCAAAGGGACAATCAGTCAGAGAGTTGCAATTAGAAACAAGTTACATAGAAACTATTTTGCACTGCTGGAACTCAGAAACCGCTATCAAGACTTCACAGAAGAATCAAGCTGGGCATTTTCAGAGGAAAGAATGAAGACAGCAGAACAGAAGAAAAGATGCTGGATCCCAGAAGGACAGAGGAGATGCAGCTGTATCCTGACAGAAGATGAAACAGTCATGGTGGTAAATAACACTACAAGGAATGAAAATAAATGTTTGTCAGCTTGACAATTGGCTTATAAAGTGCACTGCCTGCCCAAAGCAAGGATTAGTTACTGAATAAACTTTGAGTCAAACTAAATACACAATAATAAATTATCCCTTCTAATCAATATGGGGAAGGAATATTGCAGAAGACTGTGAATATTTATGAAGGAAGCACAAAACTCGGGGGAATTAGGTGGTGGTGTCATCCATTCTCCTATTCCTTTAAAGGGAAGTCCTAAATGATGTCACTCCACTCCACTTTAGTTAGGACCCATATAGAATAATGTATCCAATTTGGGGCATCACCATTTAAAGAAGACATTGAAAAACTAAAGGATAGGCTACCAAGATGGTGAAGAGATATACACAGTGAAAGGAACTTAGTAAAGATAGCCCTCAATTTACAACTCCACTTGGGAATAGAACTTCCATCAATAAGCAATGTGGTCATTAAGTCATCATGTGACCATGCCCAATTTATGACCTTTTTGCTGTAGTCAGTAACTGAATCACATGGCCGTTAAGTGATTCTAGCTCCCCCCCTTGAATTTCCTTATTGGAAGCTTGCTGGGAGTCTGGCAAATGGTGATCACATGACCCTGGGGCACTGCTACATACAAATATACTTTGATTTCAGTGATTGTATGAGACAAGATACAATTTGAATTCTTGATGTACTAATGCAATTATAATTTGATTGATATAACGAAGATAAATGGGACTTAATACCTTGACTAAAGTATAGAATATAATTTGTTCAAAAAGACTAAAATAATTTAAAAAGACTACTTAATATTGTATATTAAAATGTATGCATTTGCTCTGAAATCCAAATAAATAAACCTTGTAATACTATATATAATATCTAAGTTAAAGTAGATAGAAAAACAAATAAAATCAGTGTAATAGCTTTTATTGCATGGCCAATCTAACAAGAAGAAACAGATAATGATTTCCAAAAGTAAACTGGAGATTTTTCAAACAGGCATAAAGATAGTAATGATGAAAAATTTGCATTATCCCCCCATCTTTTGGGAGAGAAACTCTGCCAATCATCATTGTTTAAGGAATGTCTACCTTGTCTCACAGAGGATGAGTAAAGGCACAATACATCAGATATTCCTGACAGAATATAACTGATAGAGAAAAGTTAATTTAGGAAGTCGAGGTAGTATTAAAATTAGATGGAAGTGACAATGTAAATGATGGATTGAGAACACTAAAATGTGCATTTTGTAGTTCAGAAACAATTGATTTTAATAAACTCAGAACAATGATAAATATGGTTGCTGATAGGAAAGCCCTAATAGAAGAATGGATTTGAAATGTATGATTGTTTTCCTCCAATAAATAAAATGGTATTGAGTGGAATAAGATGTAGCCTTGGACCCTTTATTTGTCTTTTAAAAAAATTAATAGCTTAGATTAATAATTGGAGGTTTTTTAATCAGACTTGCAGAAGACTTGCAAAAATTGGATGGGATAGCTAATATCCTGGAAGAATGAAACACACATCAAAAGTATAACGCAGAGTCATTCATTTTGAAAACAAACAGCTCATTTACAAGTATGGGATAAAGATACTTGGGAAAAAGTTGGAAAAGTAGTTGATTACTACTTTCCGGAGTAATGTTATATAACAGTGGTCTCCATCCTTTTTGGCTTGGCAGTCCGGGGGGTAGGTGATTAGAGATTAAGATTTAATGGATTTGTATGCCACCCAATCCCGAAGGACTCCGGGAGAGAGGATAGTTCTGTGTGAGCAACAGGCACATGCATGAGTGCACTCATCTCTATTTGAATAAGTGGCAGGTACATGTGCTTACCACTCACATAAATGGAGCTTTGAGTGCGAGTGCTTGTTGCTCACACAAATGGAGCTGCACATGTGCTCACCCACCTTTTGCATGACCCTATTCTGAATGGGCCACATCCTCCAGTGGTTGGAGAAGACCAGGAGTGGGTTATTATTTTTCCAAGGGCCCACATGAGAAATGAGCTGTTGTGGAGAGCTGCTGGTGCACCACTACTACTCCTTAACCACTCCTTACTGCCATCCCCCGACTCCCCCCCCCCCAATTGTTGCCAACTTTTTCACCGGACAGGGATTGTCAAAGAGCCAGTTGTGACTCATAGGCCATAAAATGCCCAATCTGTATAAGACAGACAGCTATGTAAGTTTCTTAAATAAATGAATGAATATGAGACAGCAGCGTGACGTGGTTGCAAAAACTATATTTTCAATTTTACGGTATATTAAGAAATATAGTTACCAAGACATAAGGTGTAAATGTACCAAATACACTAAGTGCAAATATATTAAAATGATAAAACAAATTATCAGAAGTTTTCTTTCTAAATAGCTAATAGCATGGGAGGCAGATTGACTTTCTAGTGAGAGGCTGTTCCAAAGTGTAGGTACACCAATAGAAGAGGATTGGCTTTGTACTTCTGAAATGAGCAATAGGAATAATTCTGAATAAGAGGCGGAAGATCCACAACTAAGGCAACAGTCAAAAAAATAAAAATGGAGCCCAAAGCAGAATTGTAATGTAAGAAAGTGTCTCATACATGATCATCCTTAGTTTTCACGACGATAAGGAATGGGGGGGGGGGGAGTTTATTCAGCATTGCAAGTTTCTATTATTGTAATCTTATAATAAAAGTAGCATACACAACTCATGCTGTTCTAGTCTAATCTGCTTTGAAAGGCTGG